TATTGTAAGAGACGAAAAACAACGTGTACGAAACAATCTGAAAACGTAAAATATTATGAAATATATGTTTTTATTTAAATTTAAATAATCTGGGAAAAAAACGTTAACAAGTCTTTGAAAATACTCCCGATGTCCAAGTCTGAAGTAATTGACACACGCAAAGAGACGCTCGCATGCGCGGGGGGGGACACACGTAATCGTCACAAACAGTGATATAAATCAGAGAAAGCCCAACCCCTACACATATTATAAGCAAGTGTGCACATATGAAAAAATGCACAGAGGCTGATACTTAAGTTGTTGTTTTCTCTGCTTTTGACTCTTAGCTGCAGACAAAGACTCGCACAAATTTTTGGCTTCTTTGTAGCGTAGATAATTTACACAAATATTCATATTGTAAGACAGTGAAAAACAACACGTTGTTTGTGCTGTGAGTCAGCACGTTAGTGTTGGTCTAAAAGAGCTATTCTTTTTTTTTTTTTTTTTTTTTTTTGTTTCAAGGATGACTAGGTTTTCTTTGAACAAGAAATCTAGAATTCATGAGTATATTTTCTAATTAAAGTTTCGTCGAAAAAAAAGTGTAAAAAAAAAGAAAAAAGTGTTTTTTAAGAAAAATCTCAAAAACGAAACTACCTTCAACTACTGAAAACTATTTGTAAAAGATTTTAGCTGATTGCAAACGAATAAACGAAGTTATTTTAATATAAATTGTGATTGATCACTTCATTGAGGATATCAGCGTGATACAATAAAGCTAAGTTCTCATTTACCTAAAAAATTATCAACTAAACTGGATGAAAATCCTTATATCTCGTATACCGGGACCAAACAAGGATCAGAGTAATCCTTTATTGGACAAAATCAGAAGTGATTTATGGCTGTCTATTTGCTGCTCTTTGAAATTTTTTTCTCATACATTTTGGCTGGAAATAGTTTTATCCCAGATTTTAGATGTTTTTCTCATTATTATGTGAAAAAAATCTATTTTCAGATTATTTCCGAAAACACCTAGTATTCAAACGGTGCCTCTTAAAGTATACACAGGAAACATATTTGTACCTTATCTTTGAGCGTATAAGCTCGGCGTAAGCTCTTTCACTGTGTATATACACTGGTATATAAATATAGTGTAAATCGAAGAAGAAGAAGAAGAAGAAAAAATTTCAAGGCCAAGCTTGAAATCCGATACGCACCCCTTCGGTTCCGTAATACGTTACCATATCCTGTGTGCTTATATGTATTATATTTTGTATGTATGTATGTTTTTTTTTTTTTTTTTTAGTTTCATGAAGTGGAGAAAAATACATTATAACCGTTTGAGTCCAGTGGTAAGCTATTTTGGATTATTTACGAACCTCCAGATTCTTGAATTTATTCTGCAGCCCACAAAAAATGTTTATTCTCTTTATTTTATTTCATTTTATTTTATTTTTTTAATTTACAATTAAATGCAGAAGTTTGTGATTTTCTTTGCTTATAGTACGCTGGTATCGCGTGTGTCTAGTTTACTCGGGGTAGATAAAAATTGATATCTGGAACAGAGCTTGCAGAAAATGATCTTACCGATGGGAGCTTGCGAGCTTATTCAAGCTCGATAGGAGAAGTGTTGTACTGAACGACAAATGATAACTTTTAGTTTCTTTTTCTTCCCACGATTAAGTATTTATTCCTTTCGATTGAGAAATGGAGCGAAAAATTAATGATATATATTTTCAACAAGAAAAATAAAAATAAATATTCATCGTTTTTAAGTAATTTATGTTGCAATGTAAAAAGTATAAATTATGTCAAAACATTTTCGAGCTTCGTAAATACCCCTTCATAGGTGCATCATAATATTCCGAATGTCATTTATACGTATGACTTGTGTCAAACAGAGGTCATGAAATCGCGGAGCTTTACGTATTCGCTTCATAAATTTTAACAAAAAGTTCGTTGAAAGCTCGTTTGGGTGAACGAGTATACTTTGAGTTTAATGAGGCCCGGGATTTTATTTTTACCTCAACTGCTGTTGACGCTGAGTGCACATGTCTGAATATTTTATGGTTCAAAGTGATTGATGGGTGGGGTGATGCGGGAAAAACTGATTATTTTCGGAAAGCTCAACGATTCAACTGAGCTTTCGGTTTAACGTGAGCATTTTAGCGCTTTCACATGAAAAAACTTTTTTTTTGTATCTTCCTAGTATTCCAATCTCGTTGTTTTTATGATATTTTGTCGTTATAATTGCATTCATACAAAATTTTTAAGAACGCCATACTTTATCCATACTCAAAAATGTACTTTAAAACAAGTGTCTACAATTCATCGAAAAGCTTATGCTTCAGTATATAAAGCACGACTAAATTATTTATCGCCAAAGTAAAGTTACACACTGTTACATCATGTTACGCACAAAGCATTTGTATTTTTTTTCCAATTTACAAATTTTCAAATTGATATTTTAACCTAGATGGACCCATCATTATTACTAGGATGAAAAATGTAAAAACTTTAGTGCAGAGTAATAGAGCCGAAAAAATGTATCGTTTTAACATTATAAGTATCATCAGCTACACAATAGCTCAATGTGCATTTTTTCAATAGTATGAAACTCGTGTGAGATGCATTGTAATTACAGCGTTTAAAAATACCTGAAGAAATGGGGGGAATCAAAACGTTTCTCAAAACTTGTAGTGTATTGTAACGGGTAAAACGAAATTAAAAGTAGTATTTTTAAATATTCAACATTGATATACGTTACTTCACTCTCAAATTCACACGATAATAAAAAAATAATGATGTTACTAAATAATTACTTTTAACGATCTCTTGTACTTTACACAAAACGTAAATTTACGCTATGCTCGACCGAGTTTCTTTGTTCTTGTAAATATTTTTACAAAGGATTATGAACTAGTTTTGACATGCGTATTACAAAAAAAAATTTATGCTAGAAAACGACAAATTTTACTGATTTATATTTCTCTTGCTCATAATAATATCAATGCAGAAAACACTCACGGTTACCAATTTTTTTTAAATTTTACAAGTATACCCACAAGTAATATATACGAGTTATTGATTTTAGGATGAAATAAAATGTATTTGGCATTGAAGGGGACCACAACAATGAAATTTTTGAAAAAAATCTTTTTTTTAAATCCCTTTTCAACGCAAGCGAATCCGCTCAATGATAATCCTAAAAATAGCCGCGCAAGCAAAGCTTGGAGATCTGCCGAGCTTTTTTAACTTTCGATCAATGATGGCGAAAATTGCTTCGTCGCTCTTCTTACATCTTTTTAGCTTTCTTATTTAAGCCCCTATTGTATACCCGAGATTCTTTATACAAGTTGAAACACTTGTTGATGTGTACCTACCATTTTAAAAAGAAATTATTTCATCGATTTACCATTCAACTATCTTGTATACAAGTGTTTATGCTCACTATTTAACAAATTGTCGATGAAAGTCCTGTTGTAAGTTGAAATATGATGCTTTTTTACTTGAAATTTATAATACAATATTGGCGAGAGTGACAGGTAAACCTGTTTAAGGTAATAATATTCATGCCAAGCTCCAGAAGAATTCTCCACGTAGTTGTAAAATATGAGACTCGTGTGATATAGAAAATTTCTTTACGTAGCGAATGTGCTTATGAAGTGTATACCTTCTAAAAGTAAGTTGTTGAAAGAGAAAAGCGCTCACTCGCACGCAGTTATTCACATAAAAAATAAAGTTTGCAGATCTTGTTATTCACGTTGGATGTTAAATGTTATCATCGCGCTAAATATTATTGCAAGTAGTTATAGGCTTCTTTTAGATCTCTGTGTTTTTAGGACGTAGTTTTTGAAGTAAAAAATAAAATAATCAACCAATTCGTAAGGTAAAAACGAGTCAGATTAATATTACACTACAAATCCAGATAAATCATAAAAAAACAAAATAACTAATTAATTAACTGTTTTAATGCCCTACATAGAGATCAAGACAAACTACGACCTTAATTAATCGAGAAATAAAAACATCATCAACCTGCATCATTTATGTTGAGAGTTTTTAATTAAATCAAAAATTATCACCAACTAAAATCATAAGATGAAAATAGAAGCAAGCAATAACTATTGTCATATAAAAGGTCTTCTTTTTTTTTTTTTTTTTTTTATCATGATTATATTGATTTTGGATGACTATAGAGATGCGTAATCATACCCGAGAAAATTTTTCTCTCCTTTCCTTCGACTCCCTCTTCTTCAAGACTTATGAAACCGAAACTTCTGGAGCACCAAAAATAAAAAAAAGGCTTCTTTGAATTTTCACACTTGGTCGCCCACTTTCGAAACAGCTCGACCTTTACTGCGTTTATTATCCGTGGCTATTATTACGGGTCTGCAATTCTGGAGCCTCCCGATTTCAAAATAAACATTTTCAGCAGACAAAAGAGAGAGCTAAACATGCGAATTCGGATGCCAAAGCAAACGATGCTGCGTTTGATTATTTTAAAAGTAGAAGACGGAAAAAGATCGTTTACAATTGCAAAATCGATTATTTACGGATCTCGATTGGTGAAAACGATCTTGTTACCAAATCCATATTTTTCTTACATGTTCTTCGAGCTCTATTTTAGAATTTGATCCAAAATATACGTAACTAGGTACATTCTTTTTATTTTTAGGCTCATTAAATTATTTGGCTCTTTACTTTGTAAACTGGACGATGAAAGTGGCTAATTTTGCACATGCTCGTTAAATCAAATTTACGTTAATTAAAACTGATGAGAGTTGGGCAACGCCAAAGATAGAGGGCGAAAGTTTCTCAAGGTTGGGATATTTTTTTCCTTGTGATCCATGCTCTGATTTCAAACTGGCCTCAAAATGGATTTTTTTATTTTCGTCTGAGTCACGTGATTAAATTAAAATTAATGTTTTTATCGTCAATTGTCAAGTACATACCTGCCAAATGGTTTGAAGACTATGTGCAATGCGTAGATGAAAGGTTGATAAAACGATCACAAGCTCTGATTTGGTTTTAATAATAAATATAATCTGTACTGGTTCAATTACAAAATCTCGTTAAATTTATATATTTATACACGAATGTATGTATATATTTATGCATACAATTATGTAGTAATTGCGACGTAGTGTTAAAAATAATAATATATATTTACATAAAAAAGAAAATCCTTACGTATTGTTTTATTGATATCGCAAGAAACGCGACCATTTCTGATTACACATGACGCTACAATTTGTCATCACTTTCACGCAGTGTCTTAAGATTAATTTTAGGGGTACGATAATGATCATAGAGGATAAAGGAGGTGGGAGGGTATGTATGACGATTTTTTTTTTTTTTTTTTCTTCTTTACTTTCCTAGGAGAATTTTACGAGAGGCACCGATATTCTGTCCGGACTGCGTGGCTCCCTTGTTGGAACCAGCCTGAAGTCCGATCACAGTCTGCCCAGCTCTGAGCTGTTCTTGCGAGAACTCGCGTTTGTGCTCCTCGGCAGGTTTGGGTCCCAGATGCGGGCCCTTGTATTCTGGGTGTCTGTAGGTCTATCGGGAAATAATATTAACTTTTGTTTTATTTTTATCAACGAATTTCATGGCCCATTTTATGGGTCATCAACAAAAAAATTTGCTTTGGGCATGGTTTTTTTAGAAATGTAGAGCACCATTTTTATTGAGAAAGCTTGTTTGTTACTTGTAATTAAGTGTTTAACAACATTGTGCTCGGCAAGTGCAATAGGTACATTATACTTTGCAAAACAAAACAATTTAAAAAAAAAAGAGTCAAAATGTTTGAAAAAACGAGTGGAAACATTTTTACAATCACTGTAAAATAAACTTTATTAGAAAGAAATGTATAGAATTAATTTTTGCTCTAAAGTTTTTCTGTAAGTCAAGGTGAANGGCTTCCAAAGCTTTTCTGCCGTGAGAGGTTTCTTATAAATATTCTGACGTGTCATGATGATACATGACAAATTTAAAAAATAATTGTAAATGAAGGTAGATAAAAAATGTTTCTGTATAACAGAAAAAAAACAGGGTAGGTTTAGATTGATTGACATTGTTACAACACTGCGACTCACCTCGCGCCCTAGGGCAAACAGGGTCGTGACGACTAGCGAGATGTCCTTCTTTTCCCAGAGATCGACCGTTTGGAAGATATCCGCGTCACTCAGTCCATAAGCCCTAACTGCATCCTGGAATCTACGAGGGGAATAAATTGTTACCAGTACTGCCATTGATCTACAGTGTAATGTACAACATACATTAAATCGTCATGTGGATCAAAAATTAGTATGAATACGCGTAAACTTGGTTTTTTATATTTACAAGAAGTAGATTTTAGATCCCAGTTCGTTCAGAAAAAAAAATTTGTATGTCTACTTGGGAGATATATACACTTTTTGCTGTCACATACCAACGGCTTGATTTTATAACCCAACGGTTATACTATTTGTATTGTGTAATTACATTGGAGAGATAACATGTGACTACTTTGTTACTTAAGAAGATTGGTTTTCGCAAAATTAAAAAAAAAAAAAAAAAAAACTGGTCTTTCGCGCAATACCAACTTATTAATATTCTCCATCATTTTGAAGTCACCCCCTGCCGTGTTGATTTTCTTAATGGAGCCAGGCTTGATCTTGTTTATGAGCTCACAGAGGACCGTGCCGTCCCTCAGGATGTCCTCGATCGGGGCGGGCTTCAAATTCTTACCGATCACAGACGATATCCACTCGCGGGCCTCTCGCTCGCGTTCTGGATCACGTTTGGCGATGAGCTGCAAGCAATCGATTTTTGTTCGTTTGATTGAATGAATTATTTAAGGAAAAAGATTGCAGGAATCACTGAGCATTCAACAAAAGTAAATGAATCTTTTCCACGAAATCACTCGTTACACAAAAAAAAAAACCGGGTTGCCGATCATTTCTTGCGAGTCAAAGGGAAAGCAGCTAAAATCTAATCCAAACCCCCGTTAAAACGATTCTCGATTGTAAAAAGAAAAATCTACATCAGCCACAACACCAAAATCGAGTAAACAGCGTACCTTAGCGCGGACCGAACGTTCGAGTGCCATATCTCTTTCTCAAATTCGTACACTAACGTAACGCAAAAGTGCGTGGAATAGTATGCCAATACACCGTTATCGGCAAAACTCGATCGGAGTCAAAAACTCAAGTGCCGCATAGCGATCGGCCAGTTGGGCTTTATAGAGAAGCTCCGGAGCAACAGGTCGACCACCCATATGCGCGCGCACAATCACCCGTGGGATTTTCGGCGGAAGATTCACGGATCCAGTGAGTCAAGAAGACGTGAGTGCAGTATATTTTGAGGAGGAATCGGAGAAGAGATCTTACATGTACATATTATATAGAAATGTGGGCATCGTAGGGCTTCGAGCTGTGAGACAACGATAGGGTTTTATTTCGGTGGTTCTAATATTGGCGGCTCTCTCTCTCTCTCTCTCTCTCTGCATGTGGACACGTGTGCTCTTTCTCGAGAGTTTTTTAGACGTGCGAACGAAGGTCCTGAGGTACTCTGGAGGTTTTTTTAACAGTCGAGCTGCGGGAAGCTTTGACCTTGCAAAAAATGCGTAAATGCGGGCTTACAATGGTGACCCGTTTTGGTGACCCATTTTGCTGGGAATCGCAAGAACGTTGGAGTGAAATTAGCAGCTTCTTTCAAGGTGTCAAGGTTGGCACGTGTTGCATTATTTTCATTTATTTTGATTTTTTGTTGCTATTATTATTATTTTTTATTGTTCGAGTTACTATTCTGATTGTATAAAACGTCTCCTCAAACTTTCTTGGTACTTACCTTTGCAGAATGTACGTTTGATAAATAATTGTAAAAAATTAATTCATTGCTAACATATATTTATTTGAAAAACGAGTAGATCATCATTCAATACAAATACCAAAGCCATCGAAATTCATTGAGTTGACATTATCATGGTGAAAAACGACATAGAAGTTTTAATGAGCTGAAATGTAAAAATAAGCTTGAATGAATACACGGCCCTTGTAAAATAAATCTCTGTGCAATCATACTAACACTGCCATAAGTCTCAAAGTTGAGTGGTGCAATTTTACCAATTGTAATGTAACTCGGTCGCAAACTTCTGATCAGCATGATGTAAATCAATTTTTTGGGTTTTTGTGGAAACTCATACCAGGTAACGTTGGATCTGCAAAATTTTCCATGACTCTGCATCAATTCAAAACAAGACGCACGAAGAAAAATCATTGTCATGCTCACAAAAATTTGTCAATTCTCGCGCTATGGTCAAAAAGCCTTTGACCGGACCAAGAAAGGAAAAACAATCGAAACATTACGGACACTGTATTTAATCCGAAACTCAAAACTTCTAAAGGATCAGTCGTACGTGTGGTCTGTACAACAAATTATTAATATCGATCAATTTTATTACAAACTATAGTAAAATTCGTTTGATTATATCATTGTTCATTTTACTAACTTGAACTGCCGTAACACTGATGATAGCCATATTTAAAAATATGAACATGACAAACGATACAGAAAATGAACTTTCAATCATGTCGAAAAACCTATTAAAATACATCAGTTATTAAAATTTATTTTTTGTTAAATAATGTATGACCAAACAAAATTTTTATTGAAAATAAAGAATTAGATATTAAAATCGTGCATTAACGAAAAATACCTCATACATTTGCAGTGATACTTGACACATTTGATGATTTTAGTGGACATAATAATATCCCGCTCACGATTGGAGTACAGATTAAGCGTCTTGGAATTTGCGTGACTCACTTCACCAAGTCTGTGCCTGAAATATTTTTGAAAACATCGGAAGCTTCAGGAAAAGGCTTCCAAAGCTTTTCTGCCGTGAGAGGTTTCTTATAAATATTCTGACGTGTCATGATGATACATGACAAATTTAAAAAATAATTGTAAATGAAGGTAGATAAAAAATGTTTCTGTATAACAGAATAGACGTACGCGCGTAAATCGTTTTATATTCTACGATGCATATATTGGGTTGTCGAGAATTTATGACGCATTTTTTTCATTTTTCACAAAAGTAATGTATTTAAAAAAAAAAAAAAAAAAAAAAACTTTTCACAAGTTTGTCACGTGTAGTTGCGGAAGGAGTAAAATATGTCAGAAAAGAATCGTCTGATCTTAACTCTTTTACTTGAACTGACAGCTCTAAAAATAACTTGATGTTTGTCAAATTTTTATAAAAATGTAGGTGAGAAAACACAAACATAAAGATCCACATATTCGAGTACTTTGATAACGAACTAACTTCATTTGTTTCAAACATGCGTTTCTGATAATTTTTTCGATAATCCAATTATGATTGATACAATGTAATCGATGTTATATATTATAAATTTTTAAATAGAATTTAAAATGAATGACATGCATCGTAAAAAACTCCGTGTACACATCACACAGATCAATAAAATACAGTTTTTCCAATCGCTTGGGCTGTACAATAACTTGTATAACACATGATTACAGATGACATGATTTATTATGTTAATCGAAACGTGATTTACTGAAATTACGAAATAACCTTACCCTAAAACAATAAACATACCACAGGCATGTTGAATAATCATGACAAAGTACGAATCGATCGCCAGAATGATTAATATGACTAAAACAGCGGCTTGCACTCCATGAAAATAAATATGCACGTAATACTTATCCACATCAACGTAGTACTGTACTTCGAGAAGATTTCGCATCGGTCGTGACTCGTTCAGTGGAAAAATGTAGTCAAGCAATTTTGGAAGTAACGGGACAATCATGAACATATTCAGGGCCACAATAACGAGAACTAAACATTTTTACCAGAATTTCTTTGATTATTTAGATTATTTGAAAAGCTTTTTTTTTGCCTATCGTTACTGAACTTGAATAAATGATGATCAGTAATTTTCCCTCTTGAGCGTAATTTTTAAAAATTTTTTGTTCTTTCGTGGTTTTTAAGTCCAACCAGTTGTCTTTCATTTCTTCGAGTACTTTCTTCCTCTAAAAATTGCATCTGATGTAAACAAACAACAATACTTGAATGAGGTAAAAAAAAAGTACGAATGTATTGTTACCAATTTAAAGGTAATAATATTGTTACATAATAAAACATAAGCCACGTAAGTTGCAGATAGCGCCATAAGACAGTCAAGCATTTTAGATAAATTTTTAAATACCTCAATAAAGTAAATCACCTTAAACAAAAATAAGTATGATTAATTTTTTATTCAAATACATATGAGTAGTCTTGTTTGAATAATAAAAAAACCTCAGGAATAACGACTGTAAAGATACAAAAACATATTACAGACGAAATTACACTTCTTCTGGTCTTTTTTTGGTACGGCCAACTTCCGATCATGCAGAGATATAATTTGTTTATTTTATAATGGGGACCATCGAAAATATCATCTGAATGCGAGTAGTTCTTCTCCAAATGTTTAACATTCATTATTAAAGAGTCTTTTTTTATGTCAACTCTAATATCTGCAGTCCTCAAACAGTAGCATACACTTAATATAGCAACAAATTTTATTTACTATTTTAACGATATAGTTCGTGAGTAAACATTTAAAGTATGCAGTAAATGTTTGAAAAATATACGATTAAGTAAAAAACATGAATAAGGTATAATCATCAGCATAATAAAACACTCGTGTGTAAATTTCAACTTCTAGCGTCTCCTCACATTGTGCAAAGTTCCCGAGTCTACTATAGCGTACATAGCAATATTCTTTGCACTAATACGCCCAAAGTACCCAGATTATTCGATATTTTTCCATTGATTCACGAAAAGGTACGTGTAATCGAAATCTTCATATACTGAGTAACAAATAGTGCCAACGCAATGAAGAAGACGAAATCAAATATTTAAGGACCACGTAGTTAAAAAGCTGTTTGAAAAATGAATAAAAATTTTACAAAAAGTAAAAACATTTGTTTTGCACTTAACTAATTGTCAACTGATATTTGTTTGTTGTTAATCCAAAGCCTCAAGTTATGGTTCATAAATCATTTATTAACTATAAGTCATCCTTAATATCAGCGCACGCAAACAATTAAATAGCGATTAAAGCATGTTATGAGCTAGTTACAATAAATAACTAAATTAGACAAACAATACAACTCATAATAAAGAGAAATAATTTTTATAATACATTTATTAACTCATAATCTTCGACTGCTACTATTTAGAATTCATTGACCAAATTACCGTGATGTATGAAGCTGCAGATTGCGTAAGCTAAAAAAAATAGATGAGCCCATTATAAAGTCTTACAACTCCTTCAAAAATTTCCTTACCGTATAAAAGGTATTGACCAATGACACAATGAATAAAAAGGCCACTGTCACGTGATAATCAATTTTTTAAGATGGGATATAGCTCTTTTTTAGTGATAGAATAAAAAAGTTTAAAAATTATACAGGGAAAATTTTTCAAAAAATTAATCATGGGTTTTCAAATAATTACCGCTGGTATTTGAATAGTTATAATTTTAATCTACATAAATGACATGATGAATTTTCGTTGCTAATTTTTTTAATAAGTCTGCCGTCCAATCATGACACATATTTTTATATTTAGGGAGTACTCCATAAACATGCGTAAAAATAACTCATCAATTGTTCCTTATATTGTGGTGTCTTGTGTTTTCTCATCAGTTACTATTTAAGGTGGCTTAAGTAGAACAGACAGTGCTGTCGTTACAAAATTTCAGAAAATAAAAAATCCCCTGACATATAATAGAGCTTACTTTAATCCAAATCTCGGTTATCTTAGTTTTTTAGAAAGATAGCATGTGAGAGTTATTTTATTGAGCTATAAAATTTTCATGTATGTTAATCATGTATGGTTTATGTACATATATAAATTATTTAACTTATCCTCATGTTTAATGAAATAGTAACAATTGTCTAAAATTCAAATTTTCCAAATTTTGTGATTATTAGATAACATTAAAGTTAAAGTACATACAGCCAAAAGTATACACATTGAAAAAAAAGTTTTATAAGTAGTCACTATAGTACAATTTAGCAGGTTCGGTTATCAAAAAGTGAATAATTGTATGAAATGTAATTATTTATTTGGAATAATAAATGCTTTGAAAGAGTTTTAAAATTTTAATTCAATCAAGTATATATTTATATTTTTAAGAAGTGCCTTAAGAGTTTTTTTTGCAAAAGACGAACATTACATTTTTTGTGGCTTCAGTTTCGCCTCGAATGTGTACGTGTACATATAATTAATTGTATATGTTACTAAAGACTTCAACGCGAAGTGTAACTACACATTGCGTTTCTTTTAGAATTTCTCGTGTATAAAATCAATATAAATACGAAGCCGAATACATTAAAGCATTAGTACGTTTCGTATGTATAGCACAAATATATGCTTTACGTCAACAAATATTGATTTTCCCATAACACCTCTAGTCTATTATTTCAACTATGGACGTTTGCTAGTATAGGAAAAGTAGACTTAGCACATTATTTGCAATACAGTACTAAGAAAAAAATTTTCCTTGGAAGATAAGTGTAACACACTGTATGTATTAAAATTTAATGAAATATATTTGAAATAAAATGCTTAAANAATAATTTCATTAATAACTTAGTGGTACTAAATACATTTTTTAAATTTTTGCACGCTTACCATAAAAAAAGTGCTTAGATCAAGTCGAATTATTTTACCGGCTGTTAGGTAACAAATATTTAAACATTAAAAATGCATTATATTTCTAGCAAGAAATTACATTCCAAAAAAAAGAGAAAGTATCCTTGCCCAAGTCCATCTGGGCGAAAGTGAACTTGATAGAATAGTTAATATTTTCAGTTAAGAAACAGAAATAAATAACCGAAACATACTTTTCCTACTTTTGTGAAAAAAATCTCTTTGAAGAGATAAAAAATAATACATTACATCACTAGGACACAAAGCACTTTTCCGCCCCAGGGTGCAAAGTGTACCTGCGGGCACAAAAATACCGCCCTCGGTAACAAAAACAAGTTTGGCTTCCTCTTACACGAAGCTTTGTGATGGACAAAAAATCACACATTGAGATAACATGACGTTGATGTATTTTCTGAAGTTCATCATTGAAATAGAATACTCTGGCGAAAATTAAAAAAATAAAAAAAAAAGCATTAAAATTTTAATGTACTGAAACATATGCGAATATGCGTGTGTACGCTTGTGTGTGTAGTGTTTACCTATGTAATTGAACATTTTTATAATTCCCTCGATCAATTTCAATAAACCTTAGTCTTTTTTTGTTTATTGTATACCTAAACATCTAATCCAAAGTATAAATTTTCAATTTCTCTGTTTTTTCATTTTTTTATTTTTTTATTTTATTGATTTTGGAAAATCAACATTAAAAAAAAAAAAATCGATATTTCAGATTTCTATTGCTGCTTTCAGGATACTTTATAACAGAAAATCTAAACACACCACTAAAGGTTCTCATTTCCACTGTATACACGCATACTTGCTTGTATTGACCAGGTTACAACTACTTATAGCTTTTTCACTACTGCCATTGATTCTGCTATAAATTTTTTTTCGAAAATTAAGAATTAATCTTCCACGAATAATACAGCTATATGCTGGTTCATTGTCTTTCCACTAGTAATTTACAAATGATACAATAATTTATTACAGCTCGCAATCCTTCTTTTAAACCGTATATCCAAAATTTCGTTCTAATTTCGTTCACTACATCTTTCTGGCTCCCCAGAATACAGTATGACGATAACTTTTAATTATCAATATATTTTGTCTTTTATGTATAAAATAATCGGATTTGTTGCAATATCTTTGCTTTTAAAAAATAGAAATCGACTTCTGGAACTCCAAAGCATGTAAATTTGTTGAACTCGAAACCTGATGAACATTGGTGAAATTTTCTTTCGTTGTATCAGGTTTATTGCCTTGAAAAAGTGCATCATCGTAGAAAAAGAATGTAAAAATTGTAAAAATATTTAAAAATTTTTGGCTCTATCTAATTCATAGTTTTTAGATTTTTTTTTTTTTTTTTGATAAAAATAATGTTACATATTTTAATAACAATAGTAATGATTCCAATACATATAATTATCATAGAGAAAGTGCTATCTTTATGTTCTTGATAGACCCATTGCCTAGTCATTATGGACTTTTTTACTTATTGAAGAATTTAATAACACAAGAAATTGTATGGAACTGTCATTTATTAGCTGTTCAGTATCACACAAAGGCTTCTTTTTGTTTATAGCTTAATACTCATTAAGCCTTGAATATAACATTAGTTGTGAAAAAATATTTTCAATGAAAAAAAGAATAAATTATGCTGATGTATGTTATATTTTTTTTAAATATTTACTACTTGAACTAGACGTTAAAATACTTATAAATACTTTTCAACATAAGGAAAAACTTACGGTCAAACTGCCTTCTGTAGTAAAAAGTTTATACCAAAATTACTGTGATAAAACGACTATCCTCAGATTTTTTGCCTACTAGATGAAAACACCACCTTTCGCAGCTAAATATTAATAATACGGTACCATTTTTTTAATTTGCGTTGCAGTTTATAGCTCAAACAAATAATGATCGATTTGTCGCTGCCATTAAAATAATTACTGCATTCGAAACGAGCAATTATGTTCTTCGATACCTCGACAATTATTTTAATAATAGTACTGTATTGATAAAGTGCTCGCGTAATGTAAAGCTTTTCAATAGAGGACGATTTTTAGTGATGGATACGTACAGCAGTTGCTATGGAATCATACATTGATCTCATTTTTGAACTGCTATTATGACGATTAAATACGATATTTCACCGAATACATTCAAAATTCTATATTTACGTAGGGGATTGGGACAAATTCGGAAAATTGTGGTTTTGTCAATACAAATGCATCGAATTC